AACATTTATCAGTAAATTCGTATATGGACAATTTTTATCGGACATTTATTTCGGAATTCATATCACAGAACTAAACATACAGTCTGGATTTAATGTTAATAATAACGCCATTCTAATCACTGTCACCTCTGAAACTTACGGCTGGATCACATTAATAAACGCCTTATCTAAACGACTGTCACTTCTAACACATAGCCTTGACGTAACGCGGCCAATGATCCCGAGGCGGCTGCGCCGAGGATTGACACTTTGTGTCTTCCAAATCACAGTCCTAGACCGCCGGCCCTGCATATTATATACTAACTTCCAGCTATAGATACCTATTGCGCAGCCGAATCCGCCAGTCTCACAAGACTAGGGCATTCTGCAAGGCTAGAACGGTTTTCCTTACGATAGAGGTTTGGCAACAAAAACGAAAAATAACACGCTGTTTTGCGCAACAGTGCTGATAAGTTCTTTCTTTCATTTTCGCATATCTGTAGCACGATAAGCCCCCGCGTGTATTGTTGATTGCATGAATGGGGCGTCAACGACGTGACTGACTCCTGTACCTACTGCAAAGCCCGTTGACTTTTTCGTAAATAATGAAAATGCCGGCCGATGCCATTTCGGCATCGAAGAGAAAAAATTTCTGCAATTTTCACATCGCATGTCGCAAGTCAACGAGCGCGTCATTCAGTAAACGATTTTCGCAAAAATCTCCTTCGGGAGCCAATGTTTACATGTCACAGCGCCATCCTCCTTGATTGCATTTTGATATCGCTGCAACATGTTACTCTGCATTAGGTTTAAGCTTAGTCATGTTTCACGGTTATTAGGAAGAAAAGGTAAAATTTTGCTGTATTCCGCATAATTTCACTTCTTGCTTCTTATAGTTATGATTTCCACAAATTTTGCTACTTTTTGGCCCAAATAAATTATTCATTTAATAATATATTTTCATAAATAATTAAATGACATTTTCAGTTCGGACTCGCTATCATAGCGTTATAACCTCCTATATTAAATCCCCTAGGTTATGGAATATTTGGTGAATTTTTTGATTAGCTTGTGCCTATTAATCACGACTAGATCCTTTCTTGTTTGTGAATTTTAATATACAGCGTATTATATATTGTTTTTGTTGCATGATATCTAAATTCTAATCTTTTGATTCAGCTAATCTTTGGGCTAACCGACTCAGTTGCTCTCCCGACTGTTACACGTCGTAGAACAGTAGCCAATGTCAGTGTTAAGCGAGAAATGAACTTGTGGCTATCTCTGAGCATGACTGAGCGATTTTTAATATTATAGTTATAGACCTCTAATTTCTAGAATATCCCCATATAATCATCTGTCATGCTTCTAAAGACTACTAGACGCATCCTGCTGACGGCGCTGTGGAGACGTGCGCCGGGCGCTCGAATTGGCGGCACGTCTCCACTGCGGACAGCGCGGGCTTCATACTTGGAAATCTCGCGTGCAGCGTGCGCATATCCCGGAACTGCGCGTGCTCATGCCGCAGGCGCAGCGCTTAGGATCAACAGCAAGCCTGTGCACGCAAATCTTGTAATGCATGTCTCTCTGGAATTTTACTGACCTGATTTTACTGAGTTACTGTAATTTGTGATCATACATTTTAACTGTCTATCGTCGTCAATAGCTTTTTAAGCCGCATTTAATGCAATTTATATTTGAGGTTTGCACATTATGATGTAAGCAAAATTTTCTTTTTATTCACAGGCAAGTGATTCGTTTCTAAAAAATCAAGACATTTTAATGAAATTCAGAACTATTTTCATGAAAGTCACGGACTTTTTCAAGCACAAATCAAACATATCTAAATTCAAGTACTATTCCAAGGACTCCCCTCAAATTCAAAAAGACTTTTTTCAAGGACTGTGAGAACCAAAGAAGATAAATAACAACAGTGCTCTCACAAAAGCCTGGCTAACAGCCGCCGAGATAATGAATCGAAATTAATAATGAACATAGATTTTTGAGTCTCACACCGAGCGCCACGAACGCTAGCTGATAACAATACTGCAGCGCGTAAAACCACAACACTCACCACCGGGGGGCCGCGCGCAGCCCCCACTAACCACCAGGCGGCGCTGCACGCCTGCATCTGGCTCACCAAAGGTGGTGCGTTAGTTGACGTACCGTACTGTTCGAGGACGAACACTCCACCGCTTCAGCGTCCGTAGCACTTCTTGATGTTTGCTCAGATCGATGAAGAACTGGCCGGGAGAAAGAGAGAACAACCTGAGGCTCGCGACCGGTTAGCATGTGCCAACAGATCGCCCGCCGCGCACACGCCGAACACACCATGAAGCCCCCCAAACAACGAACAAATGTGTCCAGAAATGCACAACACAACGCATACGCCCGGTCCACGCAAAATGAACAACACAACGTGGCTTGCTGATCCAGCAATGAACCAAGCACACTGCTGCCTGATCCCAGCAATGGAAACAACACGGGCGTGACGCTCGTGTATTTGAATGCGCTGTACCGTGATCGTAGCGTTAGTCTGGGGTGGTAAAGAGTTTGGAGACCCATGACTTCCGGCCCGGCGTGGCAGCGGTGGTGGGGGTCACCTGCTGCTGATCCAGCAATGAACAACACAGCGTGGCTGCTGATCCAGCAAGAAACAACACACGTGCTGCTGATCAGCAATGAACAACACACGTGCTGCTGATCGCAGCAAAGAACTAGCACGTGCTTGCTGATCCAGCAATGAACAACACACGTGCTGCTGATCCAGCAATGAAACAAACAACAGTGCTGCCTGATCCAGTCAATGAACAAACACACGTGCTGGCTGACCAGCAATGAACGACACATACGGCTGCTGATCCAGAAAATGAACAACCACAACGTGCTGCTGATCCAGCAATGAAGCAACAAATGTGCTGGCTGATCGCAGCAATGAACAACACACTCGAGTAAATGCATGATCAGTTTCTATCTGCCAGTATATATACGCGGCGACACATAATGAAGATTAAGGACGCAACCGTAGCGTCAGTATATATTTCAACATACATGTATTATTACATTAATAGTATATCGTAGAATTACTGTAACTACCGGCTGTGAGCGGTCCGACATAACTAGAGCGTTAACACCGCCGAGCGCATCGCACGCACGCAGCAACGCACGCACGCACTCGCTCTCTATGCTACAGGTCTGCTATAGAGCAGGCAAGCCACGGTGGTGATCGCCAGATCGGCAACAAGCCTCTACGGTAACACCAAGTAAGTCCACTTCTATGTGCGATTCGTACCTACGTGTAATGACTACTGAGGGAGGGGGGGAAAGGGGAAGGGGGAGGAGGGGAGGGAAGGGGGAGGGGGAGGGAAGGGAGTGGAGGAGGAGGAGGGAGGGGGAGGTGGTGGGAGGGGTGAGGAGGAGGGGTGGGTTGTGAGACTAGGGAGGAGGAGGGTGGGTGGAGACTAGGAGGAGAGGGGGATGTGTGCGGAGACTGGGGGGAAAGGATAGGGGGAAGATGGGAGGGGGAGGGTTGGTGGAGACTAGGGAGGGGAGGGGATGGGTTGTGGGGACTGGGGAGAGGATGGGGGAAGGATGGGAAGAGGGGGATGGTGGTGGAGACTAGGGATGGGGAGGGGAATGGTTGTGGGACTGGGGAGAGGGATGGGGGAGGGGAAGGGGAGGGGAGGGGAATGGTTTGGACTGGGGAGAGGAAGGAGGAGGGTGGTGAGGACTGGGAAGAAGGGGATGGTGGTGGGACTGGGGAATAGGATGGGAGGGATGGGGTGGAGGGGACGGGTGCGTGGAGACTAGCGAGGGAGGGGGAGGGGATGGTTGTGGGGAGCTGGGGAGAGGGATGGGGAAAGGGAGAAAGGGAGGGGGAGGGGAGAATGGTTGTGGGGACTGGAGGGAGAGGGATGGGGAGGGGGAGGGAGAAGGAGAAGGGGAGGAGCTGGTACTGGGAGCACAAGCAGCTATGTCTGCTGTGAGAGTATTGCTATAAATGTCTACGTTCGTGTCTCCAGCCTACGGTGCGCTACGGTGCGCTACGGTGCGCTGCGCAAGCATCAAGCATCAGCAGGTGAGACGCACGCCTCCGGGGTCGACGAGACGACTGCGCCTCAGTTAGTCGACGAGACGAGTCGCCATGGTAACGACACGAGCGTCGACACCGGAAGCAGGCAACCACGCGAGCGCGCCTCGCCGCCATAACTAATCAGGGTTGGGGGGGAGTACCGAAATGTATCGGAGCAGGCAACAGACTAGACTACAGACGCTAGAGACAGGCAGGCACACGCACTCACTACACACGGTGGCAGCCAAAGCAGTGAAAAATACAGATTTCCGAACGAGAAACGGAAAATAAGGATGCAACTGAGCGTGAAAGCTAACGTACACGGCAACTAAACGCACTACGATTCTCCACTTACGGAGAACTAAACACACCCACTGGTCAGGCACTACTACTACTACTGAAGTCTTGTTCTGGTCTAACACAAAACAAATTGCCAATTCTGTTACACGGGACAAATCGTTGCTTTCTGCCTGATCGCATTAATACATGCATTTACTAATATCGACAAATTACTGGGAGACAAATTGAGACCTACTTCAGAAATTCTCCAACAGATGCCACCACTTGTAGCGTATCGTCAGTATCTGTACAATATCCGGACATGCTGTTTTTTTTAGTATTGGTCAAATGTAACAGAATATTGCAACTTCACGACTACTATGTCAACCCATCATAAAATCTACTAATATGCGTGTTTGTGTTTGTGTGCGTGTTTTTATCTGTGTGCATGTTCGTGTGCGTGCATTTGAGTGTGCGCGCGCAAACGTGTGTGTGTGTATGTGTGTTTGTGTGTGTGTGCGTCTGTGTGTGTACGTGCACGCGCGCAACTGTGTGTGTGTGCATGCGCACCCACGTGCATGTATGCAAGGTTTGCAAAAGTGCAACCTAGGTGATCATGTCACCGTACAAGAAACGAGTACCTCAAACTCCTGTAGACCACAGAAAAGAAGCATAAAGAAAAAAAAGAACAGCAATTAAGTTTCATTTTAGTTCAACAGGTGGCAGCAGCATATATACATGATATTTACACCTGCTATCGCGCAACCTGCATCTGTTGGAGCATGTTTGTTGTCGTTGCATAACTCACTTAATATGAAATGATAGTCAGGGTCGTGAGGGGAGCTAATGAATGACTGGGGGGGGCCGCTAAGCATATAAACCCATAATCGGGGCGGCAAAATAAACGTGCACTTGAGAAACGCGGAAAAAAATCGTGCGATGCACCGCATGAATGGAATTTTAGATGCTCCCAAATTGTTATAGTTTTAACTTTTTTTTACATATAAACGAGCGCTTGGCACCAACTGTAGGCTGGGAACCCGGCTCTCAAGTTTTATAAACATTTCCACACCAATAACGACCAGACGCACGCAGAAAGCAGCAACGCTGGCGCCCCCTATATGGACATGTTTACACGAGAAATATTCCTCCATTTTCCAGCTTAGGCTACACCCGATTGTACAGCAGCATAGCCACCAACGACGGGTGCTGTGTTTACCCCCGGGGGCATAAGTCGCTCACACATAGTGAACACAGACTATGAGATAACCACGCGGGACACCGCGGCCAGCGTCTCTCGTGAAATCAAGAAAAACAAAAAAACTTCAAGCGAAAAAATGCGGAAGGAAAAAAAAAATATCGGCATTTGAAAAAGACACAGCGAGAGAGAAACCACAACCCCCCCACCCATTCAGATAAGCAACACATATGAATATTATTTGCACCCAAGAACAATCTTAGCGACAAAACACATTTTGAGATGACAGTAAGATAAAAAGAGTAAGATGCTCATAGTAGAAAGCGCATCAGAATAAAACAGATCCAGACTAGTCTAATCGATATCATCAATCCAGGCTAATCTAGTCGATATCATCGCTCCGGGCTAGTCTAACGGATATTATCGCATTCGCTTGATTGGCAGCCACGACCTTGTCGATACTGAAGGTCAGGAAGCTAGATAGGGCTTCTCCGTCTGCTACGTACCTTGCTGTCGGCAAAAAGAAGTCCCACACCTTTGGTGGTCACCTGGAGAAGGCCACCCTCCCCTGTGTTCAGGTCCTGCACGGGGAACTCTCCCCCAAGTTCCGGCCCTGAAAACACAGGAAGAAAATACGTGGAATGCAGGTGTGCAGTAACAACTAGAGCTGTAACGATACACATACCTCTCGATTCGATCCGTATCTCGATACTAGCCTCTCGATTCGATTCCTACATTCAACATTAGTCCATCCCTGGCGACAGCCCTGCAAACAAGTGAACAAGGTGAAGTGTGTGACTGCTGCGATTAGAGAGTATATCCTACCTGGCATGGGATTGTTACAGCGTGCTGCCGCTCTCTCCATCGCTCCCTTTATTGCATTGTATAGGTCTCGACACTGCAAGCAAGAAGCATACATAATATATATATATCTGTCTGTCTGTCTGTCTACACCTCTCTCTCTCTCTCTCTCTCTCTCTCTCTCTCTCTCTTCTCTCTCTCTCTCTCTCTCCTCTCGCCTCTCTCGCTCTCTCCTCTCTCTCTCTCTCTCTTCTCTCTCTCTCTCTCTTCTCTCTCTCTTCCTCTCCCTCCTCTCCCTCTCTCCCTCTCTCCCTCTCTCCCTCTCTGCCCTCTCCCTCTCCCTCTCCCTTCTCCCTCTCCTCTCCCTCTCTCCCTCTCGCCTTCTCCTCACTCCCTTTCCCTCTCCCTCTCCTCTATCTCTGCTCTTCTCCTCTCTCTCCTCTCTCTTCTCTCTGCTACTATCTTTCTCTACTCTCTCCTCTATGTTACATGTTATATATTATATGTATCGTAGATATTAAAACAACGAGCCTTTAAAAGGAGCACGACGGGCAAGCGTTATACATAACACCACACACACACACACACAGACACACACACACACACACACACACAACCACACACACAGACGCACACACACACCGCTACGCATGCACACGCACACGCACTCGCACTCGCACCGCGCGCCGTGTGCAACACGTACACCCAGACATGCAGGCACGCACGACGCACGCACGCACTTCTCGTGTAGAACTTGTTCATAGTTACGTTCTCCCCGCCCTACTACGCGCTCACAGACACAGCACCGCGCTCTTCAGGACTGAAGTTATGCTTAACGAGTCGCTCGTACCACCA